TATTCAAGAATGGATATGCCCAATGGCTGAGAGAATTCTTCCAAGGTGGGTACTAACTGATAATCTGGAAAGGTGAAGCAGTGATGCTTCGTATCGAAGAACTGAAAAAGTACGCTCATCATCTGTTCATCAAGATTTGAAGTAACCAGGTTGAGAAGTTGACTGTGTCTCTTAATGAAAATATAAGTTTTAGAAATTCTTGATACTAGCTCTTTGAGTTGGGAAGGTATCTCCATAAAGCGGATTCAGATAGTATTTCTACGCACGAAAGCCATGATCTGCAAAACAGAACAAAGATAAATTCCCTTGGTCTTTGAAATGGTTAGTGTAATGAAGCACGGATGCCATGTTATGATGCATGATGTCATGATAAACCACAAGTATAGCAAACACAGGTATTGCAAACACAGTCAAATCACACAAAGCCCTTAGGTTTAAGGCTTGCATGAGGTCAAAGGTAATACCCTCTTGAAGTTAATTTGGTTTCAAACCTATCCTAGAAAAGTAATTGGGTTCTAGAGGGTCTCAATATCATTGACCATCCTTTATCGGTCATGGTTTCAGCTCACGCAATCTTTTCTTGCAGCCGAAATATTCCGAAAGTATGATCTCAACGAGTGTAACATCGAGTATTAACCAGTTCTCAGCTCTACACTGAGGCCGGCTATCTCACTACTTTCTAAGGCCAAGTTGGGCAATTAAAGGTTTTAAGGTCAGTTGATGCTTCACGACACCACGCAGCGGCCCCGTATTCTCCTCGTTTCACCATAAGGGATACCAGTACCAACCAAAGTGCCACACCAACGTAACTACTGCTTCAATCGTATCGTTCTACGTCGTACAGTTCCCTCACGGTCTATTTCTACTTACCTAAAAGGTGTTCCTCAGATCCGGGTGTAGGATCTATAGTAACCCCAAATAAAACCCTTAAAAATAAAGCAAACAAAGCAATCAAGAGAAGAAATTTTAATGACCTAGATCCTAAGGTATACCCCACTTATATCTCCCCAGCAGAGTCTCCAATTCTATGATACGGTGGCAGAACCGACTTTTTAATATTGGTTTGCATTTTGCATTTTGTGTTCGAAAAATGTCACAGTAAGCAAGAATCTCCACCGACTTTTATTTCATCCAACTGGAAAGGAAAAAAGTACAGAAATAATCCTTTTTCGAGATTTTGAGTACGGGGGTAGATTATAGAAAGGGAAGGTGTTAGCACCCTTTCTATCCATGGGCTCTTAGGTACTTGCTCATTTTTAAATTGCTTGTGTTTGTGTGCTTGTTTTTGAAAAATGTTTTACTTCATGATAACCCTTGTATCAGTCCTCAACAGTGTGACGAAGTTGTTTTGAAAATTTGTTTGAAAAGGTGTAAGTGTGAAAAGTTTTGATTTAAACAAGTACCTACTAGCATCTACCTGCTCGAAAAAAGATTGTTTCTATTCTTGTTTCCTTTAGATAACGATATCCTACTATTGAGAAATAGGTAGCACCGTCGTTGGAGTTTGTAAGGGTCAATTCGAAAGGGACGTACGGTCATTAAAGCAATATTAGAACACCTTAGTAGTAACCCTAGAGTCTCAAGATCATTTCGAGGCAACATTTCCGAGGCAACATTCGAATGGGACGCGTGATCTCTTTAGACTGGAGGGAAACCACTAAGACACCTTATGCTTAATGATCATTTACCGAAGGCAACCAAAGTGAGAGTATACCCTAATAGTGAATATGTGCGAGTGATTTATTTTCAGTTTATTATCTTTGCAGATTAGGGTTTTCTAACCATTTTAATTTTGTCATGCATTCTTGCCATACAATCCTAAACATACATCTAGACAGTTGAATATTTGCAGGAATTAAAAATGCGAGAAAATAAACCTAGCTATTACAAGGCTTCGGGAAGGGGGATTAATTACATAACCAAAAATCGGAGATTTAAACAGTAAATAAAAACCCTAAGTTAACTATTACAAACCAGTGAGCAGTTACAAAATAATGGCAAAATAATTAACAAGCGCGCGGCAAATTAAATACGAGGCGATTAGGGTTTTGACCCTTTGACTAATCCTATTTGTGATTTATTAAAGAAAAAAAATGTTTTTTGTCATGTTTTGTTATTTGAGAAAATAATAAATAATTAAATTGCAAAGAAAATCCTAAGTTCTAATTAATTTTAATTAAGAAAAATAATTAAATTAACCTATTTTTTTTGTATTTTTATTTTATTTGCAAAAGGAAAAAAATTAAATCAAGAATTAAACCTAATTTTCCTAGTTGATTTTAATTGTGAAAAACAACTTAAAGTTACCCTAAATTAAATTAAATTAATTAAATTAAATTTGATAAAAAAACCTAATTCTATTTTTTGTGAATTCTTGATTTTGTGATTTTATAAATAAAAAAATTGATTTTAAAATAAAATAAATAAAGAATTAAGAATAAAGCAAAAATAAAATAATAAGAAGAAAAAAATGAGGAATGGGCCTGTGTTGTTAGCAAATCTGGGGGTTTGAAGTTGAATTTCTAGGCCCAAAATGCTCCAAGCCTGGTTGACCACGCTTGATCCTATGTAGTGTTGACTTTGTGGCACACCATGGATCTTCATTGCTGGCACGTTGGATCTGGCTAGCTGGACATCCAGTGGCCAGGCGTTGAGAGTGTATGGAAGGCGCTGGATAGTGCAATGCATTGGATTGGCCTACAATTGTTAAGAAAATAACAAAATGCAAATGCCTGAGATCGAACCCAGGACGTGCACATCAAAGGCTAGCCTCTTCACCATCTGCGTTGGAATGTTAATTATGATAATAATGAAATAAGTGAAATATAACTCAAACAGAGTGCCACGCCCCAAAAACGCGTGAAAGTTCAAACGGGCCTGTCACATGCTGCCACGCCATCGTCTCTTTCACTGGCCTGTCGCTTTAGGTAAAACACTTTTACCTACGGACATTTGTGTGTAACTACAGACCTGTAACATTCAAAAATCATGTACAGGCAATATAAATGAAAGGTAATGGTATCAATCAACTCGTCTCATCCTCACGAGCATCATGGTACCTGATTCAAGGCCTAATTTTGCCTGTAATGAAAACCCCTAAAACGAACACAAAAACCCTAGCAATGGTAACATCATGTACAGGCATCAAAAATGAAATTAAATGTCATGGTTAGCTTGCAAACATGATGACAAACACAAACATAACAATCAAAAGTGCTAATCATGCAAGAATTGTGATAATCGAATTGAAAAAATATGCCAAACCATGTGAAGTGTAGTGCGCGTTTCTGGGTGTTTCAGGCCTTGCAAATGATTGAGACAGCTTCCTGGGACGTCCAACAATGGATTGGGATAGCTAGGATGGCTTGAGATGGCATGTGGAGTGAAAACCAATTTTCACTTTTTGCCAACTTTTTTTCAGTTTTGTTATGTCCTTTACACGACCTCTAACCCTGTTTTTTGATCTGGCACTCTTCATTATATAACCTAGAATGAATTAGGTTAACAAACTTGGACTAAATCTTTGCCTTTATCCAAGATTTGATTTGATTTTTAAGTTATATGATATGTTCCTATTTTGAGCCAAAACATGCCTTTCTTGTATCAATTGCCCTTGATTCGATTTGCTCTTGTTTACTCAGCATATCTTGATTGCCAATCTGTCAAAAAAACAAATCAAATCATATATTTGTTAACTTTCATCATTTATTTGATTTAATCCACTTTTTAATTAATGAAAAATAAAAATAAATTGAAAAATGAAGCACATAATGGGTGAGTGAACATTTTAGTTGTGGACCACATTATAATTGAGGTGAAACCATAAAAATTTAGGCTCATTTAGCAAAAAATGCAAATTTGAGCACATTTGACTTTTGGAAATTTTGCAAAAATGGTCAACTTGGCCAATGCATAACTCTCTCAATTTTGATCCTAGAGAGGTGTTCTTGGACTTTTTAGAAAGCCTAGGATGTCCTATAAACAAACCATTTGGTCTCATATCAATTGAGCCTTCCATGTTCGTTTATGAAGCTTTGACCCAAAAGGTGTTTTTGTTGACTTTTCAAAAGGACTTATAATGTCAAAATTCATATCTTTTCGTGAGTGAATATTCTGGACTTGGGAGATGAAGATGAATTGTAGATAATTTCATCCTCTTCAAAATGAGTTTTGGATGGGTCATTTCTAATAAAGTATGAGAAAGTTATGCTTGGTCAAAGTTGAGTTGACTTTTCTTGTAAAACCCTAATTTACCAACTTTTGGATTTTGATGATTTGTGAGCAATCCTTGAGGAATCATGATCAACCCTTGATCAAATGATAGATAATACTTCAAAATGAGGATGTTGACCGAAAATATTAAAGTTTAACTGTATGTGGGCCATAGTTGACTTTTGACCTAGTACAGTTGATTTTCAGGCATTTGAGCAATTGACTGAGCAAACTTCTTCTGCAAGGCTTGAAACTTGACATGGATGATCTTTAGAACATATTAGGACAATGGTGAGCATTTGAGCCATTTGTGGTTCACACATCTTGATGAATATGAAAACTCTAATTTAAAGTATACTGCCTTAAGAGAGAGTTTGTCTGGTCAATTCTTGAACTTCCTTGAGCAATTTGGGAACCTCACTTGCCATGTGTTGAGAAATATGAGAGGAAAAATTTTGAAGTACAACAATAACCCTCTTACCTTAGATTCTCCTAGAAATTATCTTCCTTGCATTCTACAGATGGTTCTCTCTCTTTTCCTCTTCCTGCCCTAGTTCTCCACAACATTCTTCTCTCTTTCACGAACGATTGCACAGAATGAGTAACTGACGCTCACTTTTCATAGTTTAACCATTGGACCCTTTCTATGGTCTTCCCATATTACCCTCAGTTATCACTTCACCAATTACCACACTGACCTTATTATTTTATGCAATATATTATCTTATTTCACTAATTAAAATAATTCTAAATAATTACTCTAATCATCTCAAATATAATTAAAACACCCCACATCACTTAATTTCTACTATACCACACACAACATCACATCACATCATATTCATCAAAACATCACATATAATCACAAATACATCAAAAGTGCTCATCAAAACATCAATTAATTTTGGTGTGTTACAACAAGCAGTCACTCACATTACAACTCTCCATGTTTGTCTCTTCCTTTTTTTGAGTAATCATTTTTCTACCAATGGTAGAAGTCAGTTTTTCTCTAGACTCACAATGAAAGCACAAGATGATCAACATGTCGATTCTTGCCTTACCAAATTTTACAAAAACTTTCTTAGAAGAAACCGATGCTTTTGGGGTTGCTATTGGTGTTGTTCTTTCTCAATAAGGTCATCACATTTCTTTCTTCAGTAAAAAGATGTCTCCCTGTTTGCAAGCCTCGCCCGTCTATGTTAGGGAAATGTATTATGTCACAGAAGCAATAAAAAATGGCATCAGAATCTTATCGAACAACATTTTCATATCTACACGGACCAAAAGAGCATTCGCAATTTGTTGTTACAAAAAATTCAAACACCCGAACAACAAAAGTGGACATCTAAACTACAAGGTTTCAATTTCGAAATCTTCTACAAATCTGGCAGATCTAATTTGGTTAATGATTCTCTGAGTAGACAATTCATCCATGACACTTGTTTGTTGTTCACCCTCTCATCCTCCGTGCTCGACATCATCACCAAGCTCCAGAGATTTTATGCACAAGAACCAGCCGATTAGAATTTGGTTAACCAAGTCACGAATCCCAACACTACCGATAATGAATTTGCTTTCAAAAAAGGACTTTTGTTTTTTAAGGACAAAATATTCATACCTGATATCCTTAGCTTTCGCAGCTCCATTCTTCTAGAATACCACACTACCTCGACAACTAGACACTCCAGAGTAAAAGCTTGTTTCCAGAATCTTCCAGTCATTCTCTTGGTCGGGAATCCACCTTGTTGTCAAACATTTCATCAAAAAAAATACTTGACTAAAAAAAAAGGTCCACTTCAGCCATTACCCACACCAAACCAAGTATGGGAATACCTTGCTATGGACTTCATTAGTCAACTTTCTAACTCATTTCGGCATACCGTCATCTGGGTGATTTGTGATCGTCTCTCCAAATTTGTCCATTTCATTGCTCTACCCTCACACTTCACAGCAAAGGACCTCGCTTCCAAATTCCTCGTAGGCATTTTCCGCTTGAACAGAATGCCTAAGTCCATTGTGTCTGATCGTAACCCTTTATTCCTCAACAACTTCTGGAAGGAATTCTTCAAGTCTCAGGGCACTACATTGAAATACAGTACCACTTATCATCCCGAAACTGATGGCCAGACAGAAGTAGTAAACAGATAAGTGGAAACATACTTGCGGTGTTTTACAAGTGACCACCCGTGCCAGTGGTTTAAATTCTCACATTTGGCATTATTTTGGTACACCACTTCTTTTTACTCAGCAATCAACATGACTCCGTTCAAAGCTCTCTACGGTCGTGACCCACCCAGTATAACCCATTACTTAGCTGAGACTTATAATACTGATCCCTTAGACTCTTCCCTACAACAACATCAAGTGGTCATTACAACGTTAAAATAAATTCTACATTGAAGCCGCAAAAGTATGGAAAAACAAGCTAACATCAAAAGGATACCATTTACCTTCAACGTCGGTGACCAAGTCCTACTCAAACATCAGCCATATCGACAACAAATTGTTACAAGAAGAACATCAGAAAAGCTTACAAAAATATATTTTGGGCCATTTCAAATCATCAACAGAGTTGAAGAGGTTGCTTTTATGTTGGATCTTCCATCCTCCTCACGTATCCATCATGTGGTTCATGTATCGCTTCTCAGACCCTATTTCGGTTCTAATCCAACTGGTGATTTCAAACCCCTTCCTTCACAAAAGCCGTACGACTTCCTTGAGCCTCACCAGCTTCCTGATACTCCATCTACACATGATCCTGAAGCTCCATCCGTTCCTGAAACATTCAAAAACACATACAAGAATCACAACCCCAGTTCTGAAAACACATAATTACAAAGCCCTTCGGATTTCGATGATAAGCACTTAACTCATGGCTTTGCGAGTGAAGTAAGGAATTCCACTTCATCGTTGTTGGAAAAAAATGTTTCTGGGTGTTTGGAACCACCATTTGCAAGTAAAAAGAACAACAAGAACACGTTTGAAGGACACAGAAAAAGTGATTTCAAAAGTTTCTAAAGTACAAAGGGATAGGAATCTGAAACAATTAACTCAAGTGCATGCATCCATTAATGACACGCCTGACCACACGAGTTCTCCAAACCACACGTGTGTCCCTATGGATTGGGTGGTCCAACCAAACACATACACGCATCCCTTGTCAGTTGCCTTTCACTCACGCACAACCCAAAGGTACCTGACCCAACGTTCTTTTGACCTCTCCAACACACCATCTTCATTTCCCACTTTTCAAAAACCTGATTATCTGCCTCATTAATGCCCCCATGTGCCTTTCACCTACTAAAACACGTTTCCAACATCAACCAACAACCAAGTCTCATTAAATTTCTTTTGGATCCATCACCGGCCCATTTCCCTTTAAATTATCTAAGGTCCATTCTACTATGAACCTTGAGGACAAGGTTTCTATTGAGGCAATGAATATTGATAAGAAAACACCCAAACCCATTAAAGAAAAGAAGAAATTTTTTTGGCTTAAAGACTTCGTTATAAATTAAGGGGAGTGATTTTAGCTATTTTAGTCATTTATGATTTAGGCCCTTTTTATTGTAAGTGGCCCACGACCCAATTAGGGGAGAAAAACTCTACTATATATTGTTTGTTTGTATGCTTTTATGAGAAGTACGAAGAAATATGTTTGCAAATTTCTTTTCTCACCTAGTGGTCTTCTTCTAGATCTCCGGAGAAAAACTCAAAATATCTCCAAAATTCACATGTGCAATTGCGAAGTCACTTGTTATGCGGTGAATTCGAAGATTCATATGCAAATTTTTTTAATATTTAAGGTTAATTCGCATGTGCACTTGCGAAGTCACCTGTTAAGGGGTGTTAAGGGGCGAATTCACAGATGCATATACGAATTAAGTCTTATATTATTTTTTTTAAATTATTTAAGATTAATTCGCATATGCACTTGCGAATTGTGCCGAAACAGAAATAGACCTATTATTTGCATCAAAGAGGCATGGGAAAAATAAATAATTATAATATTTGTGATGCATATTTTCGTTTTTATTTGATAATTATTGCTAATTATTATTTCCATTTTTATTTTTCTATTTTATAATAAATACGTAATTATTAGATTTACGGTATATTTACAAAACAAAACGACCATATTTCTCTGTTCCAAAATAAATCTATTATAATATTTATTTTAATTAAATAAATTTCATTCAATACATTATATTATGGATTTAATATTTTTTTTATAAAATGAATGAATTTATCAATTCACTTTAAAAGTGTTTTAATTACAACGGTAAGACCATTTAATATGTAAATTAAATTAAAAAAAAAAAAAAATTTGTTAGTTGTCTAATACAGTTTATATTTTAATTAAAATTTGTAAGAAAGTGACCATGATAATGATATAAAAATATAATAATATATTAATAAATTATAATTGTCTAGAATATCTCTTTTTTATTTATCAATATTAATTATGGCAAAAATTTATAACATTTATATAAAGAATAAATAAGGCGTGAATTATTGTATTGCATGATATAGCAATAGTAAATAATTATACTCATACAATTACAAAATGCACACATATATGTGAATTAAATCTACTCTATTTTTAATATAATAAAATAAATTACTACTAAATTTACTTGATTATTTAACAAGCATTTTACAGATTCTTAAATATTATTTATCTTTCTAAAATATTTGTATGATATATATATTTGTTTCTAAAATATAATAAAAATAAAATTACTTTTTTTAAAAGAGATAATAAATCAGTATTTATAATTTTTTCAATATATAAAAATATTTGAATCAAATAATATATATGTTGTTTATATATAAATATTATCTTTGTTTTGGAATTATTGTCCAAAGTATTTAAACCAATAATAAAGTTGTTCTATTATTATTTAATATTTTGATTAATAACTTTATGTTTCCGTTAATATTTAATAGTTTGATCAATAACTCCATGTTTCCGTTAATATTCAATATTTTGATAAATAATTTCATGTTTCCGTTAATATTCAATAGTTTGATCAATAATTCTATGTTCCCGATAATATTTAATATTTTGATAAGTAACTTTATGTTTTCGTTAATATTCAATATGATTATCAGTAACTTCATGTTCACGTTAATATTCAATATTTTGATTACTAACTTCATGTTACCATTATATTCAATAGTTTGATAAATAACGTCATGTTCCCGTTAATATTAAATTCACGTTTCCGTTATTATTCAATATTTTGATCATTAACTTCATATTCCCGTTAATATTCAATATTTTGATCAATAATTTCATGTTCCAATTAATATTCAATATTTTGATCAGTAACTTTATGTTTATGTTATTGTTCAATATTTTTATCAGTAACTTCATGTTTCCGTTAATATTTAATATTTTAATCAGTAATTTAATATTTCCTTTAATATTCAATATTTTAATCAGTAATTTCATATTTCCGTTAATATTCAATAGTTTGATCACTTCATGTTTCTGTTGATATTCAATATATAGATAAGTAAATATTTTGACCAGTAGCTTTATATTTTTGTTAATATTTAATAATTTGATAATTAAATTCATGTCGCATTAATATTCACTATTTTGATTAGCAAATTTATATTCTTATAATATTCAATTTTTTATCAGTAACTTCATGTTTCTATTAACATTTCATATTGTAATCATATTTTTAAAAAAAGAAATATTTTTAAATTAAAAATAAATTAATTTTACCAAATTGTTTTACTAGTATGATACACGCACATTTGTTTTCAAAATATAATAAAATAATAAATAAAAAAAAGATAAAATTACCTAATCAAAATAGTTTATTATTTTTAAAATAGATAATAAATCAATTTCTATATTTTTTTTCATATATCAAAATATTTTAATCAACCGTATAATAATTTTTATATATAAATATTTTTTGTTTTAAAATTATTTATAAAATAATTAAATTGATTGTAAATTTGTTGCCGTTATTATATAATATTTAAATCATACGATAAAATAAAATCAAAAGTCCAAAACATTTAGACGATAGTAAACTTGTTACCATTAATATTTAATATTTAAATCAATTTTAAATATATTGTATGAGCCTACGCTGAGTGTCTTGTTTGGATCAAATTAATTGTATTTCATGACACTTTAAAAATAAAATAAAACTAAATTTTTTTAAAATATATTTAAATTAGTTATATTTTATAGTTTATTCACATGCATTTAAATTTAATTAATTTTATATTCAAATTAATCAAATCTATTTACTATAAATTTTATGATAATATATACTTATTTTATAAATTAAAAACTAATTTTATAATAAGACTAATAACTTGTCTTTTATTTAAAATCCTTAAAACCGAACTCTTAAAAAGAACATTAATGCAAAAGAGATATCATTCCTTGTTTTGGTGGGTTCGTGGAATATAAAATGAGTATTTAACATTGCACAAGTATACCATTACCACACAAAGTTTAACCATTTTTATATAAACCCTCATTCATGCTCTTTCTTTTAATCAGTGAACAACAAAACTAAAAAAAACTAAGAAAATTTTGTAGTACTTATATTTACTTGGAATACAAATTGAATACTTCTAATAAATCAATTTTCTCTTGTCCTACCTTTGTGAATCCAAACCAAATCATTTTCTCTTCTTGTTTGATGAATGTTGTGGAGAAATAATTTCTTGAGCTAGTATTTCTTCAATAATTCTATTAGTGGATACACACACACTTAGAAATTTAAATAGCTCTATGGCCTGCCCAAAATAGTAATTACATCCAAAATTTAAATAAAAGAAATGATGCAATAGCAAGATCCTGTTACTGTCGGTTGGTTATAACTGAACTTTCAAACACATTGCAATTTCTTTTTCATTGATTTTTGACTTGTATTAAAATAGAAGTAATGATATTTCCGATGATATACAGTGTGAAGCAGATGTTTTTTATCACATTTCCTTTCAAAGTACTTAAGAAAACGAATTTACAACATGAACATAAACATACATATTACAGCAACAATCAAGCTGTATCCCACTAACATTCGAAATATTAATGATATTACCATTGGCCAGTCTCTAGTATAAGCTTACAACAGTGCTATTGGTTGTACCATTATTAGTGCTTTTAAGGCTGTCCACTTCACGCGCATTGCCGATAGTATGCTCTCAGTATATACACTTTCAAAAGTAGTAGAAGAGCTGTCAAATCCGATAGCCGAGTCAGCATAATCTTCATTTAACCCCGCTTCTCCTTCAAGTGAAGAAGCACGGTGGAGATATTTTTGATTCTAATAGTTGATCCTGTTGTGATTGCAGCTATGTCTTCAATTCTAACATCTTGGATTCCACCTGACATTTTACTCCCTAACGCAACTGTAGCACTATCAGGTGATATACATGTTAAACTTCTAATGACTATTTGTTGTGATGGCTTTCCAAATTTGATTTCATACTGATCCCATCCACTTTTAATGGCAACAATCATCACCAAGGACAATGTAGTTGTCTTCAATCCTAACATTTGTACATGAATCTGTTGAAACAAATAGTTGTTGTTAGTAGTTTCATAAGAAACACTTATAATGACATAGACACTAACACGACTTTGATGATAATTTAAGAAAATAAAGTTTACCAGGGTCTATGCCATCTGTGTTTGGTGAGTCAACATGTGCAAGAATGATTAGTCCATTTATAATTATGTCACTGAAAAATAATTCTCGATCAGTAAAAATTTAAAAGAAAAAACAGGTGCATCTCTATCTCTTCCATAAGAAGGTAAAACAGGAAGTTGGGCCATTCTGATTCATCCCGTGTAATATAAAAGAAGGTAAAACAGTATGCTCATTTTTCATCAATCACTATGTGACATCATGACTATGTATGTATATATGCCTAGTCGTAATCTGACATTTTCCATTTTCCATTTTCCATTTTCCAAGCACAGTACTAAGCATCACTTTTATTATTTAACATTAATTTTTCTTATTTCAATTATTCTTGTACAGAAAAGCGGCATCACATTAGCATATTGGAACAATCACCATTACATGAGCATACTGAAGTTGCATACAAATATTTATATCTATATGACAATAAAACACATGATATTATGCAAAATAAAAATTATCATAGATATATACCTGAGATCCAAGAATCACAACAATCTTTTTGGAGGAAAAATGTGAAATGACTTGTGTTGGAAATCCACCAATACATTATGATGAATTTCGACCACCACTTGATGATAAGTTATGAAACAAACAAATAAAAGAACAATGGAGATATTTCTGCAGAATTTCTATTCTGCCCACAAACTGTGGAAACTTTATTAATTCACTTTGCAACTGCAAAATACTGTGAATGAGTTCAATGACTTGAATACAAAAATAAGGGTTACTCCCTCTTATTTATAGATTTAGGTTAGCTTGCTCCCTAAGCTAAACCCAAGCCCAAAATATCTCTTTACTAAATCAAATCTAATCTAGATTTAAATTCAAATCTATTTAAATCTAAACAAATCAAATCTTCTTTTGACACCTATGAATTACAATTTAACACACCACCTAATTCATTGTGTCTAAACTGTCTATGTTCATCATGGCCCTTAGTTTTCTGAATACTTCGACCTGCACTCCCTTCGTCATGATGTCTGCAATCTGATTCTCAGTTCTGCAGTGTTCCAAATTCATCTTCCTATCTGCTACCCGCTCTCGAAGATAATGGAACCTCATTTCGATGTGCTTACTTCGACCATGTGCTATTGGGTTCTTCGCCAGATTGATAGCTGACATGCTGTCTATCTTCATGGTAATTGCTCCATGATTTTTCCCTGTTATCTCTTCGACCAAGTTCACCATCCAGGTTGCTTGGCATGCACAAAGAGAAGCAGCTATGTATTCTGCTTCGCATGATGATAATGCTACTACTGGTTCTTTTCTCGAACTCCAATCAATTGTTGCACCACCTAGCATAAACACATATCTTGCTGTTGACTTTCAATCTTCAGCATCACTACACCAGCTCGAATCAGTGTATCCCACTAACTTGCATTCTTTTCCTTTATCAACTGCAGGAAACAAAATGCCATAATCGAAAGTTCCTTTGAGATACCTTAGTATCCTCTTCACAGCTGCTAGATGTGATACCTTTGGCTTCTGCATGAATCTACTTACCATACCTATACTGTATGCTAAGTCAGGCCTTGTATGACAAAGGTATCTCAATGATCCAATAAGTCTTCTGTATTGGGTTGGATCAACATCATCTTCATCTGCATCTTTCGACAGTTGCAGTCTTGGTTCTGCAGGTGTCGAAGTTGCATTGCATTCTTCCATCTAAAACCTTTTGAGAATTTCTCCTGCATATCTTCTTTGATGCATCATCAAACCTCTACTGCTCTTGTAGAATTCGATACCAAGGAAATATGAAATCTCACCCAAATCAGACATTTCGAATTCCTTGCTAAGGTCAACTTTGAAGTCTTCGATCTCACTTTTACAGCTACCTGTTATCAACAAATCATCTACATAGAGACATAGTATAAGCAATTTACTCTTGCTTCTTCTTACATATACTCCATGTTCAGTTATGCATTTCACAAATTCCTTCTCCCTTAGAAAACTATCAATTTTCTTATTCCAAGCCCTTGGAGCTTGTTTCAAACCATACAGGGCTTTATGTAGCCTGTACACCTTTCTTTCTTCGTCATGTTTCACAAACCCAACTGGTTGTTTAACATAGACTTCTTCATCTAAGGGTCCATTTAGGAATGCACACTTCACGTCCATCTGACATATGTGCCAACTGTTGATTTCTGCTAGACCAACAACCAGTCTGATTGTTTCGATCCTAGCAACAGGTGCAAAAACTTCGTCGAAATCTATTCCTTCTTTCTGTAGAAATCCTTTCGCCACAAGTCTTGCTTTGTGTCGAGTTACTTCACCTTTCGAATTCGTCTTTACTTTGTATACCCACTTGACATCAATTGCCTTCTTGCCTTGAGGCAATTCGACAAGTGACCAAGTGTTGTTGTCTTCGATAGACTTTACTTCTTCGTTCATTGCTTTCACCCACTTCGAATCCTTTAATGCTTCAGCTGCATTAACAGGTTCGACATCTGCATAGAAAGCATAATGTACCAGCTCACCTCCATCATTTATCACATCATCTGATGTAATCACACAATCTTGCAATCTTGCAGGCATGCATCTTGTTCTTTGAGGTCTTCTTGTACTGGGTATATCTGCTGGCTCCTCTTGTCGAACTTCTCTTTCGACTTGAGTTTCTGGCTCTTCGAATAAGATTCCCACTGAATCTTTCTTGACATTTGCAGTCCAATCCCATTCTTTGAACTCATCTATGATCACGTCCCTGCTGATCACAATCTTCTTGTTCTCTGGATCGAACAACTTGTAGCCTCCTGTCGAATGATATCCAACTAGGATCATTTGACTTGACTTGTCATCAAGTTTCTTTCTCAACTGATCTGGCACATGTCTATGTGCAATAGATCCAAATACTTTTAGATGACTTAAGCTAGGCTTCACACCAGACCAACATTCTTCTGGAGTAATTCCTTCTAGCTTCTTTGTAGGACTTCTGTTCAAAATGTATGTTGCAGTCGAAACAGCTTCACCCCAGAACTCTTTGGGTAAATTCTTGCCTTTCAACATACTTCTCACCATATTCATGATGGTTCGATTTTTCCTTTCTGCAATTCCATTTTGCTGTGGAGTATAGGGTGGAACCACCTCATGCACAATCCCTTCCTTTTCACATAATCTGTCGAAGTCTTTCGACACATATTCTCCTCCACCATCAGTTCTCAAAACTTTGAGCTTTCGACCACTTTGTCTTTCGACCATGGACTTGAACTTGGTGAATACTTCGATCACTTCACTTTTCTTCTTGATCAGGTAAGTCCATAGCTTTCGACTGAAATCATCTATGAATGTAACAAAGTATTTGTTACCTCCCATCGAATCCACCTGAATTGGTCCACATACATCAGAGTATATGATTTCGAGACTAGCCTTCGATCTGCTTCCTGCATCCTTGCTGAAGCTATTCTTGTGTTGCTTCGCCTGCACACATTTTTCACATACTTCATTTGGAATATCAATTTCAGGCAATCCTGAAACCATATTTCTTCTCTTCAAATCTCTGATGTCTCTGAAGTTGAGATGACCTAGTCTATAATGCCATATCCATTCATCTCTGCTAGCTGCAGTCGAAAGGCACTTGTGCTCCATCACATTTAGTTCAATCTTGAAGGTTCGATTCTGAGACATAGGAGCCTTCAAGATTAATCTCCCATTTGCATCAACAACCCTCATCAACTTATCTTCGATTGACACTTTATAATTCTTTTCGACCAACTGCCCTATACTGAGCAAATTGCTCTTCATGCCTGGTATGTATAATACATTCGAAATTATTGACTTCTTGCCATCTTTCCTCATGATCATAACATCACCAATACCTTCAGCTGCTAGGGTGTTGTCATTTGCAAATTTCACCAAATTTTTTGTTGAGGGTTTTATATTGACGAACCAGTCTTTCCTTCCAGACATATGTGATGAACATCCTGAATCCAAGTACCATTGGTCCTTGAATCTATCTTCATCTCTTGTTGTGACCATCAGCATCATCTCTTCTTCTTCTTCATGTTTTGCCAGCTTTGCATCACTTTCTTGATTCTTTCGTTTTTCTGGACAATCACTCGAATAGTGACCATACTTCTGACAATTATAACATTGAATGTGACTCTTATCAGGTTTTCGACCACCACCTCTTCCTCTGTTTGCAGCACCACCTCTTTGGTTGCCTTGGTGTGGTCTTCTTTGATTCGACACGTCTCCTTCGATTTGGTTTCCTCTGCCATTCGATTTGTTGTAGCCACCTCTACTTCTGTCGAAATACTTTCCTTTGCCTTTGGTCTCTTTTGCTGAATGTGCCTGCAAGGCCACATCACTCTTCGATTTTCCTGCAGCTCTTTCGTTCATTCTTTGTTCATGAGATTCGAGCGTCCCTTGAAGCTCTTCCTTTGTCAATTTCGACAAGTCTTTCCCTTCTTCTATCGCCACCACTATGTGGTCGAACTTAGGGGCTAAGGATCTCAGGATCTTCGAAACAACAGCTCTTGTTGTTAATGTTTCTCCACATGTCTTGATTTGATTCACTAGTTTTGTAACTCTAGTGAAGAAATCAGATATGTTTTCACTGTCTTCCATCTGAAGCAGTTCATAGGTTCTTTTGTGAGTTTGTAACCTCACTTCTTTCACCTTCTCAGCGCCTCCAAAAGACTTCTCAAGGATCTCCCAAGCTTCTTTTGCAGATTCTGAATCACCAATCTTCTCGAAATTGTCTGGACTGACACATTGATGAATTATAAACAATGCTTTATAACTCTGTTTCTCAGATTCTGTATATTTCTTCTTTTCTTCTTCTGAAGCATTTTCGCCAAGCGCTTCGACTCCATCTTTTACAAGGTCCCAAAGACCTTGACACCTTAATAGGACTTTCATCTGCTTGCACCAATTCTCATAATTGTCAACTTTCAGAATTGGCAGCGCTGCTGGATAGTTTGCATTTCCATAACTTGTCATCTTGAATTCTTCAATCGTTCTTGATTGATACTTCCCTTGAATCGAAACACAAGCTCTTGATACCAGATGTTGGAAATCCACCAATACACTATGATGAATTTCGACCACCACTTGATGATAAGTTATGAAACAAACAAATAAAAGAACAATGGAGATATTTCTGCAGAATTTCTATTCTGCCCACAAACTGTGGAAACTTTATTAATTCACTTTGCAACTGCAAAATACTGTGAATGAGTTCAATGACTTGAATACAAAAATAAGGGTTACTCCCTCTTATTTATAGATTTAGGTTAGCTTGCTCCCTAAGCTAAACCCAAGCCCAAAATATCTCTTTACTAAATCAAATCTAATCTAGATTTAAATTCAAATCTATTTAAATCTAAACAAATCAAATCTTCTTTTGACACCTATGAATTACAATTTAACAACTTGTAAGGTTGAAGCT